CCCTGGAGGACAGAGGAGATCTGCCCCATAGGTTTTCTTTCTTTTTTTTAAAATTGTTTTATTAGGGGCGCATACAATTCTTATCACAATCCATACATACATCAATTGTGTAAAGCACGTCTACATTCATTGGCCTCATCGTTCTATTCTCAAAACATTTTTTCTCCATTTAAGTCCCTGGCATCAGCTCCTCATTTTTTCCCCTCCCTACCCACTACTCCCTCATGAACCCTTGATAATTTATAAATTATTATTTTGTCATATCTTGCCCTGTCCGACGTCTCCCTTCCCCCACTTTTCTGTTGTCCGTCCCCCAGGGAGGAGGTCACATGTAGATCCATGCTCCGTAGGTTTTCATAGACTACATGGCTCTACAGGAGCCATCTGCTCATCTTTCTCCGAAGGAGCAACTAGTGAGTAAGTCTGAGCCACTGGCCTTGCTGGTAGCAGCCTGGTGCTTGATCCAGTGTCACCATGGCCCCGTACAGTAGAATAGAGCATTGGAATAAACTTTTTTTTTTACTGTGAACGATGTGGTCTTTTGCATCACTAACACTGTGGAGGAGCACAGGTTGTCATTTAGTAAAATTATCCGTCCTTTGTGCTCTGATTTTTGTGTGATTGGCTTCGGTGTAGTTTGGGCACAAAGAGTGGTGTTTCCTTCAAAATGCATCAGGAAGCACCGATCTAACATTTTTATCCAGAATTGGCCCCACGCAGATTATTTTTCATTCTACCCAATGTACCTGGAAACGCTCCAAATTTTTATACAAAGGTACAGTGCTTGTTCAGCTTGCTTAAAATGTAATTTCTTCTAAGCCTCACATACCATCCTTCTGCTTCGGAGAAGATTACAGCCAAGAAAACCCGTATGGGCAGTTCCGCTCTGTCACAAGGGGCTGCTCTGAGTTGGAAACTGATTACACTTGGCAACAATCAATGCAGGTTGAATGTATCTGGCACTATTGTATTCTAATACTAGATGGATGAACTAACCTAGGAAGGGGCTGGCTATTAGGATGCAGTAAGTAGTGTAATCTCACTGAATTAAATGATAAAACCGTTTTATTGAGTTATATTTCATACCCTATAAAACTGACCCCTTTAAAGAATACAATTCAGTGGTTTTTAGCATAGTCACAATTGTGTTTCCAGTACCACGGTCCAATTTTGGAACATTATCCTTATCACTGTGGTTTACTAGTAACTAACTTGAGTTCTTTGGTTAAATGATCAGAAGCAGAACTTCTGTTAGAACATTTTTTTTAGAACTTTTTTCTTGAATCCCTCTATCTTCCTCACCACTCTGCCCCCAAACTACCTTAGACCAAATGTTTTGAGGAAGCACTGAGGTTTCAGAGACACCAGAAGCAAAAGAAGGCTTTTGTAAGAAGAGCTTGACCTAAAGGCCAGGAAAATCCCCTACGTGGATGGGGCAGGGCATCCTGTGCAAGGCCCTGCCCAGGCCAGGTTGGTAGGAATACCAGGGGTGCAGTCACTAGACAGGGATAGAAAATGAATTGGAAAGTTCAGAGGCCGAAGTAAAGAACAGGTTGATGGTATCTGAGCGACAAGATTCAGAAAAGCTGAGTGGGTGGTTCACCTTTATCTCGAAGTTTCATGCAAGATACCTGATGTGAGGGCTGGGGGTGGGGCTATTGCTGAAAGACACAGAATCGGTTTCACAATCAGTCGCCATGCGTCAGAGTGGACTGGATTGCAGTGAGTTTGGTTGTGGGCTCCGCATGTGTCTCCTTGCTGTGCCTGCCTGTGCAGCCCTTGAGGATGCCCACCTATTTAAACAATTGAAATGTGTGGGCACAAGAAGGGCTATTGACTCGGTTGTGGGAATCTTTTGTCTTCTTTACATGGAGTTGCAATCCATATGGAAGGCTGTAGTTTTTTTATCATCCTCAGTAAGTACTTTAAGTCCTCTTCACTTTCTGCAAGCCCACTGATGTCTTAGCTCTCTTCCGATCCTGATACTGAGTTCTTCTTCAAATCATCTACTTCCTCAGACGATTTACTCAACATACAGGTTGAATAAGAATGGTGAGAGGATACAAGCCTGACCCACACCTCTCCTGATTTGAAACCATGCAGTATCATCTTGTTCTGTTTAAACACCTGCTTCTTGGTCGGTATACTGGTTCTGCATGGGCACAATTAATTATTCTGGGATTTCCATTCTCTGCAATGTTAATCTATAATTTGTCATGATCCGCACACTTGAATGCCTTTGCATAGTCAATAAACACAAGTAAACGTCTGTCTGGTATGCTCTGCTTTTAGTCAAGAACCACCTGATGTCAGCAGTGATATCCCTTGTTCTACGGCCTCTCCTGAATCCTAATTGAATTTCTGGCAGTTCCCTGTCAATGTGATGCTACAACTGTTTTTTAATTGTCTTCAGCAAAATGTTATTGCATGTGATATTGATGGTATTTTTCAATACTTTCCGAATTCTATTGGGTCACCTTTTTGGGGGAATTGGTATAAACACCGATCTCTTCTAGTCAGTTAGCCAGGTATCGGTTTTGTAGATTTCTTGGCATAGACTAAAAAGTGTTTCCATTACTGTATCATCAGTTGTTGGAACGTGTCAGTTGGTATTGTACCAATTTCTGGGCCTTGTTTTTGGCTAATGCCTTTCGGTGCAGTTTGGATTCTTCATTCAGTACCCCTGGTTCTTGATCCCATGCTATGCCTGAAGTGGTTGAGTGTCGACTAGTTCTTTAGGGTACAGTGATGCTATGTAGTCACTCCATCTTCTTTTTTTAATGCTTCCTACATCATGCATTCATTTGTCCATAGAATGCTTTACTATTCTAATAAGGCTTGAATTTCCCCCTTCAATTCTTGCAGCATGGGCCATGCTGACATGCTTCCCTTTTGGTTTCCAGCCCCAGGTCTTGGCACATTTTAGTTTACAGCTGGACTTTGCCTTCTCAAGCTTCCTTTTGACATTTTCTGTTCCTCTTTTACGTCATCATGTTTTCCATCTGCTTTAGTTGTAAGTTTCAGAATCTCTTCTGGCCTCCACTGTAGTCTCTTCCTTCTCCCGTGTATTTTTAATGACATTGTGCTTTCTTCATGTATGGAGTTGTTGATGTCATTCTACAGCATCTCTGGTCTTTTGCCATCAGTGTTCAATGTCAAATCTGCTCTGGAGAGGTGTTCTTAAGTTCCGGTGGGATAGACACTGGTTGTATTTTGGCTCTAATGGGCTTGTTTTAATTTTCTGTTTTAGAACAGTTTTATTAGCATTTAATCCATATGTCATACAATTCAATAATCCATATCAAGAAGGGCTGCGCAGTTATCAGTACATTCAAGTCTAGAGCATATTCTTCCTTGTACTCACTGATATTAGTGTCATTTTTGTTCTAATTGTGGAAAAATGTACACAACCAAACATTCTCCAATTCAACATCTACAGGTATAATTCAGTGCCATGGATGTTCTCTTGGTGTTGTACAGCTATTACTGATATCCTTTCCCGAATGGTTCTACCCCGTTAACGTAAACGCAATGCCCTCTGAGCAACAACTCTTTCTCCCTCGGTCATGGGACCCACTGCTCCAGGTTGGTTTCTTTTTTCAGTAGTGGTTTTCTTGATATAATATCTACATATCATACACTTCCGTGGTTCAATTTCTCTTAAAAAGAGTTGTATGTGCATCATCACAATCCGTTCTAGTGCGCCCTCCGACTTGGTTTAATTTTCTTCAGCTTCAACCGGAGCTTGCACATGTGCCAGTGAAGGTCTTCCAAGGCCTGAGTATTTGGGGATTAAGACTGTAGAACAAGTAAAGTAACTTAGCAATGACTTGCTAGAAAACGAAGACCCAAAATGCAAGCTCGGATTTTGGGGGCGGGTTTTAGATTCAACTGACAAAGTTAGAGTTGCTAAGTCCCTGAGTGATGCTAACCAAAAGATTCAGGTCTGCTTCACAGGCGCCTCCGAAGAAAGGCCTGAAGATCTACTTCAGAAAAAATCAGCCTTGGGGATGAGACCAGCCAGTCAGGGGCGATGTAGCACTGATGAAAAATACAACTTTCCTCTAGTTCCTAAATGCTTCCTCCCCACCCACTATCATGATCCCAATTCTACCTTACAAGTCTGGCTAGACCAGAGGATGTACACTGGTACAGATAGGAACTGGAAACACAGGGAATCCAGGGCGGATGATCCCTTCAGGACCAGTAGTGAGAGTGGCGATAACGGGAGGGTGGGATAGAAAGGGGGAACAGATTACAGGGATCTACATATAACCTCCTCCCTGGGGTCGGACAACAGAAAAGTGGGTGAAGGGAGAGGTCAGACAGTGCAAGATATGACAAAATAATAATTTATAAATTACCAAGGGTTCATGAGGGAGGTGGGAGGGACGGGAGAAATGAGGACCTGATGCGGGGGCTTTAAGTGGAGAGCGGATGTTTTGAGAATGATGAGGGCAATGAATGTACAAATGCGCTTTACACAATTGATGAATGTATGGATTGTGGTAAGAGTTGTATGAGCCCCTAAAAAATGATTAAAAAGAAAAAGAAAAACCAGCCTTCGCAAACCACCGGGAGTACAGTTCTGCTCTGACACGTGGGGGCGCAGGGGTCGGGGGGAGGGGGACTTCGCAGCGATTGATACTGATAAAAAGCAAACCCAGGGCTCTGGAGTCGATACCGACTGCAGGACAGAGTTCCTGAGCTGTAACTACGGACAGTTGAGAGCCCTGTCTTTCTCATGCTGACCTTGCCGTTTGCAGGCCAAGGCGTAACCACTGCGCCACCCCGGTACTGACCAGCGCCCAGAAAACGCCCTTTCTGCCCCCTGCTCACCCACAGGGTCCGGCATCCCCTGTCCCGAGGCCGAGCATTGGGGAGGCCGAACTTGGTCAGGTGCTCTGGTAAACTGGGGCGGATGGAGCGGCAGGGGCAGGACCGCCCAGCTCGGAGGCCGGGCCCAGGCGCGGGGCGGGGCCGGGCCCAGGAGCCACCTTGGAGGCCGAGGGGCTGGGAGCCTGGCTGTCGCCGGAGCCTGGGACCCGGGAGACTGTAGCGCCTGCTCGCCGCTGGTGTGTACTGCGTTCGGGCTGGGCGTCCGGGGCCACTGCGGACCTGCATCCTCCCTGGCGCGGAGGTCTGCGCCGCCCGGGGGGCGGTGGGATCGGGGGCAGGGGTTCAAGGATGACTTCTAGACCATCTCTAACCCTTTTGGGGTCCTGCCCGAGGAGCTCACTTGTCACTCCCAGCTTCCTGTCCGTCCCTTGCAAGCTGCCGCAGCCTCTCCTCATGGAAGTGCGTGCAGCCCGGGAGCACACTCGGACTTCCGTGACAGTGGGGCGGGGACGACACAACTTGTCCTTCTGGGTGGGTGGGTTGTTGGGAGCGAGGGGGGTATGTCCGGGAAAGACTGGAGTTCCCTAGCTCGATCCGAGAGCGAGTGTTGCCTCCCACCGCGAATCCTCTAACACCACGGGTGGTCACGTGTGAAGCATCTAGGTCTTAAGCTCATCGCTGGGATCTTTGGCTGCAGTGTGTTATCTTATCATCTCTGACCACGGCCCCCCTCACCCCATTCCTCTTAAGCTCACGTCCTCCTTGCACGGAAAAGAAAACCTGGGATTAAGGTTCCCACGGCCTGTGACCATGCACATTACAGCCTTGTCCCACATTGCTCTCCAGGCAATGAGCCCTGGAAAGGGCGGACTATTCACCCAGGAACTTTGGGGGCTCCCTTGCCCCACCACTTCTTAGGAACTGCTCAAGCCAAGTCATTTTTCTAACTTGAAGTTTTCTTAAAGCTGAACAACCTGCCCCCGGCTCCAACTATAAGCTTCAAGTTCCACCACCAAACCCCATGAGCTGACACCCCATTCCTGCCTGACCTCTGGGGATCTCTACATGGACCCTGGAGGGTGGGAGACACTGAGGCATTTGGCTGGTCCACTTGCAGTACAGACTCTGCTGGATTTATGACCTGCTGCAGAAATCTTGTGGACTTCTGGACTTTATGCTTGCTCTGTGCCTTTGTAGCCTTCTCTGAATTCAGCATAATTGAAAATAATTTCATTGCGCCAGGAAGTACCATTGTCTTCTGGAGTGGTGGTGCTTTCCTTCAGGCACAAAGGCCTGGGGGTCAGGACAGGGTAGGGGGTGTCCTTAGGAGAGTCTTTCATTAGTCAGACTGGGATTGACTTAGCAGTAAAACGCTCCAGGAGCCTGTAGTAAGTTGTTTTGTTTTTCTAATTTTCTACATTCAAGAAGGCAGACCCGAGCAGTGCCTTTCTGGCGGTCTGGGAAAGCGTAAGCCTGTGGGTGGGGGGGGGGGGGGCCTGTTGCAAGGACTGCCGTGTGTGCAGCCACCGCTCTGAGTGCAGAGCACAGCCAGGGCCATCCGCTGTCCTGGAGTCGACACTCTCGGAGAGGGGACAATGGAGGACAGAATCAACTTGTGCGTCCGCTCGTGGTAGAAGATGACAGTGTGCTGTGGAGAAGCTTAAACCGTGAAAGAGACAAGTGGAAGGAGACGGTCTTGCCCAGGTGACCCTGGAGTAGACTGGAAGGAGTTCAGGGGCAGCAGAGTGCGAGGCCGAGGAGAGAGCAGATGCCGAGGAGAGAGCAGATGCCGAGGAGAGAGCAGATGCCGGTGCTCTCAGCCCGCTGGCTGCCATAGGGGGCTCTCTCCCTACAGGACAGTTCGACCTTGTCCTCTGGGGTCACAGTGAGCTGACATCGACTGACGGCAGTGAGTGAGAGTTCGAGCTGGCAGAGACTTAATAGAAGGGCACGTGGGAAGGGACTGAATGGGGACTTGAGGGCAGAGGGGCCTTTAGGGAAAGGCGCCCGACCATTGGAGGATGTAGAATGTCCTGATGGGGTTCTGCATCAAGCCTGTTGTTAACGTCTGCCCCCGCTGGAGCTCCCAGGGAGCCCATGCCACCAATGCACAGCACCCCTGGTTTTTCGGAATTGGTAGTCGCTATTCCGACTCCTGGTGATTCCCCGTACGCAGATTAGGACCGCTCCGTAGGGCTCTTAAGAATGGGACCTTTCAGAAGTAGATTGCCAGATGTTTCCTGAGGAACTCTGGATGGATTCGAACCACCAACCTTGCAGCCAACTGTTGAGTACTTGCGCCTCCCAGGGCCTCCGTGGACATAGAACCCAGCATGCCCTTGTTTGGTGATTGCTCCCCTAATACCTTGACTTTATCCTTCTGGCTTCCCGACCTTGGCCAAGATATGTGATGGCAGGGGCTGCCCACATCCCATTTCTGGATGCTTGAGTTGCGATTCTCCAAGGCATACACTACAACTGAGTTGGCAAAGTAAGGAAGGGCCAAGTGTGACTTGGGGACCACACTGAAGGAGCCGCTCAGGACATAGCCCCTTGGGACTGGGAGTGGACAGAGATAAAGCAGGCATGTGCTGTGATTTGTGGGGCTTCTTGGATCTCGTGCTCAAAACTCACTTCTGGCAGTGCTGGTCATCAGGTGCGGTCTGTCAGTTCTGATCCCCGGTGACCTCTGCGCAACCGAATGAAACGCTGCTCGGCCCTGCGTCATCCTCACAAGTGTTGCTGGTTTGAGCCCGTTGTTGTAGCCCCTGTCCACCCATCGTGTCCAGGGCTTTCCTCTTGTACACTGCCCTGCACTTGACTAAGCATGATGTCCTTCTCCAGGGACTGGTCTCCCTGATGACATGTCCAAAGTCCTTGAGAAACAAACTCTCCCTTCTAAAGAGCATTCTGGCTGTCCTTCTAAACCCGATTTCTTCAGTCTCTTACAGTCCATGGCATATTGGCCTTCCTTATTTGCTATCCGGTTTTCACTTGCCAAGGAGAGACTTGAGCCATCCTGACCTTGGTTATGTAACTGAAAAGCCATGTGTCAAACAAGCGCTACACTGTAGCAGCCTCTTCTACCCTCAACGTTTATTTACTTTCCCCAGCAAGGGGCACAGTTCATCCTTTCTCCTGTCTCTCCTGCAGCGTGAAAACACTAGGACTTGAGCCTTACTCTTCAAAGTGACATTTGAAACGATGCGGTACCCCTGTTCAAACGACTTCCTCTTGGTTGTACAAGTTCCACAGGACCCCAACCGGGTGTGTTGAATTCCCAGTTCTTCACCATGGAGACATCATTTGTTAGGACCCACAGCTGTGCGTCAGTAGAGTCGGGGTAAACACCTCACCTCTGGTCTGGTCCTGAGGGTCACCACTGGCGGGTTATTCCTTTGGGAGGAAATGCAAATACCGAGATATGGGGAAAGGATTGGTCTAGAAAAAAGACTCCGCTCCTGTCCGGGCTGTGCCAATCATGTGCCCCCTCCCTTGAGTTTCTCGTCTATAAAATGGGGAGTCTGGGATAGATGAGCTACCTACAAAGAGCCTCTTGTAGCTCTAATCTATAATGAGTCTGTCTCTAGTCCAAGGCGATGTTCCAGAATGGACTACATGGCTGGAGAGGGATCACTTCTGCTAGGACCTGGGTGTGCCTCTAGCCTCGTGGTAGTGAGGGAGCTATGAGGGGCATGAGGGTTCCGACCCTACAGGTAAAGCCTCAGATGGAGGGCAGGGCACAGGCTTGCGGTGGGAGGTGGTTCTTGAACCCGGCCGGCAGTGTCAGAGTCGGCATAAGTCTCCAGGTGGCTGTGTGGGGTAAGCTCGGAGGTGGCGGCCCAGCAGTTCCCTTAAGGGAGGATCAGAGCTTTCCCATGACCAGCCAGCCCACTCCCCGAGGAGGGAGAGGTTGGTGGGTGCTCTGGAGAGAGCTCCCTCTCACCAAGCTCCTGTCCTTGGTTATGTAACCAAAACACTGGATTGTGTAAACCAAGCTCTACGTCTGTTTATTCCCTTTCCGGAGGGAGAGGCAGAGTTCCCCCTTTGTCCTGGCTCTCGCCTACAGTACTCCTCCCATGGACTGGGGGTCCTGGCGTGGAGTGTCCATGCCCCAGTGCCACCTGGTTGGTGGGCGCTGCCCTCCTGCACCTCAAGTGGACTTGGAAGAAGGCCAGCCGCTACAAAGCCAGACTTGTGCGACAGCCCCACCCACAAGGCCTAACGGAAAGTTCTACTGTTTGAGCTTGTTGAAGAGCCCACAGGACTTTCCAGATAATCCTCCAGCTAATTCGCAAACCCGGGACCCCTCGCCGCACCCAACAGGCCCACTTCCTGCCCTTAGCATTGTGAGGTGAGGTTCTAGACACTTACTGGCTGCACGTAACCATTTCTCAGTGCTTCACTTAAAAATCTCTGTAAAACAGAAGAGCCTGCCTGCCGCTTCTTCTTCGTGTTGGGGGATGACACGAGATGCTTACAGAGTCTTCCCAGCCCAGCCTTACATCCAGGCCTCTGTGAGCGGCCTCATGGGAGGCTGTGGACCCCCAGACACACCCCCGTTGCTCTGAAGGATTCTGAACACCCACCCTCTGAGCCCGTCGGCCTGGCTTTAGCTGCTGTGGCCTGCACTTTGGGCCTGTGAAGCCTGCAGGGAGGAGGTCGGGGCATGAAAGACCATGGGCTCTCCAGCCTTTCTCTGTGGGCTACCCCTGTGGCTTGTCGCTGCAGCTCAGCCGGGGCTCTGTGGTCACAGGAGTTAGAATTGGTGAGACTTTTGGGTGCCCCTCATACATCAGAGTAGACCAGGTGTGCTCCATAGGCGGTAGTAACGGCCGATCTTTTGGAAGTTGATTCCCCAGCCCTCAGTGGATTTGAACCTCTAATCTTTTGATTTGCTGCCAACTGAGATAAACTTTTGCACTTGGACTCCAACGATAAGGTCAGTGCAGGGACATTGGACCCTTACCTGCTCCACGGGAGAAAGTGGAGATGTTTTCCCACATTTTGGTTTTCTGCCCGTGGCAGGCCCCCCTCGTTGGCCCACGATGTCCCCCCAGGAGGTGGCACAGTGACAGGGGAGCGCATGCTCCCTTCCTCTCCCAGTTACCTGCTGCCTTCCATGGAGGCAGGCCTGCCAGCTGCGTCAGCAAGACTCTGTGAACAGTCAGTATCTCTATTTTAGAGTCACCCCCACCCCCAGGGACTTCTGATGGGACTCTATGAGCATTCTGTG